GGTCCAAGGCTGCAATCAATTCACGTAGGAACATCGGGTGCCTGTACACTAGAACTAGATGCCGCCATTGTGGCCTGATAGAGCACCACCTGACCTTGCTGTTGAGGCCCATTTGTGGTATGACTCTTACGGGTCTTCGAATTGTGGCGTTTACTGGTCCTAACGGAGTCATCCCTCAGTAGAGCTCGTCCACGATCTTTTGCGTCCGCCGCCATGGCGACTTGGGTGGCATTCTCGCTCTCGAGTTCTTTGCTCGTCTCTGCCAACTGGTGCACAAAGTTCTTTTTTGGATCTTGAGCTCTTGTCGTGTCTCTTCGGTCTCTTCGGACATTGCAGCGATCTGGCTGAGGTAATCGGATTTCGCATCAATGGCCTTTTGCCTTGATGCAGCGAGTTCGCGAGTCACGTCGGCAAACTCCTGATCCCTCAGCGTGGCGCGATTATGTACTGCATTTCCTTGATGAGCTCGATCTCTAGCGATCTTGATCTCCTCATTCATCTTTGCGTCACGTTCCTGTACTGCACGTTGTCCAATCAAGTGCATCTCATCCCGTTCGCTCACGGCAACCCGTGTGCAATGGGCTTCTTGTTCAGCGTACCTTATAGCATCATTTGCTTTGCTCACCAATATATTTTGTGGCTCGTCATCGATCGCCATTTTCGGTTGCGGCGCAATGCTGTCTCCAATCTCTCACGCAAACCACGAATAGTGTTCTCCTCGTTCTGCGAGTCCGTAGTGATCTTCACCTGGTAGGAGTTGATCATCGATTGATACTGAGCGATCTCGGAAGAAGTGCTCCTCCTCTTTTGTTCAGCCTTGTTCTTGCTGACCAATGAGCTCTCCTCCTCGCATCTGATTCGATGTTCAAGCAGATTCACGGCCGCGGCCATCTCTTGATGTCGCTTCTCGTGCTCGAGGACCTAAGTCGGGCTTCGTCTTGATACTCTCCGTAGATCTTCACGAGATGTTGTGCCTGATCTTCGGATAGCTTTGTCTTCCCGCGTTAAATGTCAATGTGTTGAGCAGCTTCTCGAAGTTGTTCGTCGGATCTTTTGGGGATATTGGCTACTTGTTGTTCCGACATGCCTGCTCTCCGTTCCAGTTCCTGGATACGCGTGACATTGCCCTGGTCGTCACGTTCATACGCCTCCTGTAGCATAGCCAAATTGCGCTTAGCCTCCTCCACTTCCTGTTTGAGCGTCTTGTTCTCCTCAGTCATCTTAGACGGACTAGAGCCTGTAGGCGATTTGGATCGTCCTTTTTCCTTTCCTCCATGCTCCTTCTCGGTGTCGATAATGAAGCTGATGACGATCTTCTCTTTTCTCCGTCCTTGGACCACACCAACTTCTCTCCAGGATGAATGTGATAGGTCATGGCTAATCAAAGGAAGTTTAGAAGGAAACTTCCGAGTTACGGAAACTAATTGAAAGGTAGCTCTGCGCAAAGATGAGATGAAGAAAGAATGAATGCATGCGAGAAAACGTGCGTATACGTGTGGCGGGGGAATAGAAATGCAAAAAGTGCAACCCTCTGCGGGTTTTGGCTTCTCCGGCTGGCTGAAAGCTACCCCGGTCGCGGCGTCTGACGGGGACGGGCTCGGGACGGGCTCGGGACGGGCTCGGGACGGTCTCGCGCCGGGACCATTGGCACGGATGCGCACACTTTCGCAAGGTTCAAATTTCGTGGCAGGCGCAGCATTTTGGCAAGGTCGGGTACAGATTTCGTGGCAGGTGCATCACTTTCGCACGGTCAAGTGCAGATTTCGTGACAGGCGCAGCATTTTCTTACTTCTGGCACGGACGCATCGCAAATCCCATTGGCACGGACGCGCAAGGCGGCGCATGCAGATCGCGGCAGGGGCAGCGTTTTCGCGAGGTCAGGAACAGATTTCGTGGCAAGGGCATCACGTTCGCAAGGTCAAGTACAGAACTCGTGGCAGGTGCAGCCCTTTTGCAAGGTCAAGTGCAAAATTCGTGGCAGGCGCATCACTTTCGCAAGGTCAAGTACAGATTTCGTGGCAGGCGCAGCACTTTCGCGAGGTCAAGTACAGATTTCGTGGCAGGCGCAGCACTGTTGCAAGGTCAACTTTCGCAGCCGGGGTTCGAAAATCGCAGCTTTTAAGTGCGAAAGTAGTAAGCGAAGTCAACTTTCGCAGCTGGGGCTTGAAAATCGCAACTTTTAAGTACGAAAGTAGTGCGCGAAGTCCACTTTCGCAGCCGGACTTGAAAATCGCAACTTTTAAGTACGAAAGTAGTACGCGAAGTCGACTTTCGTAGCTGGGGCTCGAAAATCGCAACTTTTAAGTACGAAAGTAGTACGTGAAGTCCACTTTCAAAATCGCAACTTTTAGGTACGAAAGTAGTACGTGAAGTCCACTTTCGCAGTGGGGCTCGAAAATCGCAACTTTTAAGTACGAAAGTAGTACGCGAAGTCAAGATAGAAAGAGATAGAGAAAGAGATAGATAGATAGATAGATAGAGAGAGAGAGAGAGCAAGATAGATAGATGAATAGACAGAGAGAGAGAGAGATAAAGAGATAGAGAGATAGATAGATAGAGAGAGAGAGAGATAGATGGATAGATAGACAGGGATAGAGAAAGAGAGAGAGAGACATAAAGAGATATATAAATAGAAAGAAAAAGAGATAGATAGGTAGATAGATAGATAAATAGATAGACAGATAGATAGATAGAGAGATAAATAAACAGATAGATAAACGATAAACAGACAGATAGATAGATAGACAGATAGATAGATAGAGAGATAGATAAATAGAAAGAAACAGAGATAGAGAGAGACACATAGATAAGTAGATAGATAGAGAAATACATAGATGGATTGATAGATAGATAAATAGATAGAAACAGAGATAGAGAGAGATACATAGATAGGTAGATAGATAGAGAAATACATAGATGGATAGATAGATAAATAGATAAATAGATGGAGAGGTGGATAGATAGATAGATCGGTAGAGAGAGAGAGGTAGATACAGAGATGGATAGACAGGTAGATCTATAGATAATTAGAAGTACAAATGGATAGATAGATCGGATTATCCACAAGACAGGACAATCCATCCTCCAATCATCCATTACTGGCATATTGGACTCTCTCCGAAATAGATGCAGGGACCAACAACGACCTCAACTGCCACAGGGTTCCAGTTCCCTCCGGGGATAGATAGGTAGACAAAGAGATATAGAGATAGATAGATAGAGAGATAGACAGATACATAGATAGATAGATAGATACGCGGGAGATAGATGGAGAGATAAACGGATTAGATAGATAGATAGATAGAAAGATATAGAGAAAGAGATAGAGAGATAAATAGATAGAAAGAAAAAGAGATAGAAAGATAGAAAGATAGAAAGAAAGAGGGATAGAGAGACAGATACACAAAGAGAGAGACAGAGATAGAGGGATATAAAGAGATGGATAGATAGAGAGATAGAGAGATAGGTAGATATATAGATAGAGAGATAGAGAGATAGATAGAGAAGATAGATAGAGAGATATATAGATAGATAAGCAGATAGATAGATAACAGGAGAGATAGATACACAGGTAGTTAGGTATAGATAGGTAGAGAAAGATAGATAGACAAGCAAACGAAAGAAAGAAAGAAAATACAGATAGAAAGAAGGAAAGAAGGGAGGAAGGAAGGAAAGAAATGAAGAAAGGAAGAATGACGGGGAAAAAGAGTCAAGAAAAGAAAGAGAAAGAGAACCATAGTTTTTATATTTTTGAAACTTCCGCCCACCGGCTTCGCCGGCTCTACTGGTACCAGAACTTGCACTTTGTTGGGTGTCCGGAGAGTCTGCAATCGCCGGCACTGCAAGCATACCTGTGGAACCGCTGGAGAAGAATCCATTGTACGGCTGTAAATATTTTTCAAAAGGTTGTATTGTACCGCAGTTGCAATCCACCGCAGGCACCAATTTTGAACTTACGGCTGATAACCTGCCAGGAGGCGAATCAACCACGTAGTCAAATGACAAGGCAGTGGGGGGTCGACTCCCGCGAAATGACCAATACCCTCGACGGTAAGTCGTATAGTAGTGGTCGTGGTAAACGGGGGTTGTAAGGTAAATGATCTGCGCAGTCTCACGACTCGATGCGGCCGTGGAATACGAACCGTTTTGCTTTGCTTCACGCTGTGTGTTGGATGTTTGCCTCGATTCTATTATCAAGGTCTTGAGCCCAGAGCAATCAAACAAAGAACGCGAACAAGCAAACTCAGAAGCAAAGAAAAAACGAAACAAACAAGCCAACAAAGAAGCAAATAAGCAAAGAAACACAAGCAACCCAGGCCAAAGAACAAGCAAGCAGAGAAACCTAGAACACAAACAAGCAAGCAACAAACAAAACAAAGAAACAACGAAACAAACAAGCCAACTAAGAAGCACAGAAAGATGCAAAGCCGCAAAGAAGCAAGCAATCCAGCCCTAGAAAAGAAACAAGCAAAAAAACAAGAACACAAACGCGCAAACAAAGGAACAGCGAAACAAACAAGCCAACAAAGAAGCAAATAAGGAAGCAAAGAAGCAAAGAAAACACAAGCAAACTAGGCCAAAGAAAAACGAGCAAAGAAACACAGGGCACGAACGAGAAAACAACCAAACAAAGAGTCAAACAAGCCAACCAAGAAGCAAAGAAGGAAGCTAAGAAGCAAAGAAAACACAAGCAATCCAGGCCAAAGAAAAAACAAGCAAAGAAACAAAGGACACAAACAAAAAAAACAATCAAACTGCGAAACAAACAAGCCAACAAAGAAGCAAAGAAGGAAGCAAAGAAGCAAAGAAAACACAAGCAATCCAGGCCAAAGAAAAAACAAGCAAAGAAACAAAGGACACAAACAAAAAACAAAGAAACAACGAAACAAGAACCCAACAAAGAAGCAAAGAAAGAAGCTATGAAGCAAGCAAGGAAAGAAAGAAGCAAAGAAGCACACAAGCAACGCACAGATTGGTTCCGAATTTCCTGCGCTGCCCGCCTGCTGACCCCGAGCTTCCTGAGCTGGAGCCTGCCGGCCTCAAGACGGCTTGTGGTTTCTTCAGATGACTTTCGACAGAACGCTATGCGTTGGTTTTCAAGGCTACCGCAGACTTTCAAGGCAAACACGTGGGTTTCCGAAGGCGCACACATGGTTTCACAGGACCCCTATAGATGCTCAAAAGCAACATGACGTGGGTTTTCAAGGGGGCGCTATAAAGTGCCAGGTGAACACAACGGAACCCAATCGACTCTCCAGGGAAAACGCGTGGAGTGGAACTTCCCTTTAACTGAAAACATGACGGTTAATGACAAGCAAGCACGCAAACATACGCAAACACAAAGGGAATGCGCTTGCGGCCACTGTGTAGGTGGGCACAAAGGTACGCCGCACCAGCGCCGATGACAAGCTTCACCGAGACTCGGCGCGACACAGCCCAAGCAGAAGCGGCGGCACACATCCCTGCTGGGCTGTCCCACTTCTCTCTGGCAGCGGAGTCCATTCGGCTGAGCGGTGTTCACCAAGCCACCATGCTAGCGCTATGCACTATCAGGTATCTGATGCTCACGGGGTTACAGTGTTTGAAGGGAACCACATGGGCGTTCAATGGCAAGCGCAACACGTACATTTTCATGGTACACACATAGGTTTGCAATAAAATCACATGGATGTTTAAGAAACACATGGTCTTCAAGAGAGCTCCATGGTGGGTATTCAAAGGCGACACATGGTTTCCAGAAAACCGTTGACAAGCACTTCGCAAACTCTACTCAGCTTTTGCCGGTTCAAAGTAGGACTGGGGGCTGGAGTGGAGCATTGGAGTGGGAGATGAAAGTTTAGACTGGAAACAGCCTGACAAGCCTGACAAGGAATTAACAGAAATAATGCCACGACGAGCTGAGCTGGGCTGTCGGAAGGCAGGACAGCTTCCGCGTAGGTAACCACGCGATTCCTGTGGCGATTCCCTCACGAGCACAGTAGACAGCACTGACGTGGCTGCGGTTAAAAAATGGAACCCGTAAAACCTGCGGCCCCCTGGTGGCTTACTACTGGCCCATACGCGTGTAAGGAATGTTGCCCCCTGCCCCTCAAACAATCTTACGTTTTTCAAGCGGGAGAAGCCCGAAACACAGCTTTCGGATCGACCTCTGCAGGCCACGGCCTCCCAGTGATGCTCTCACGCTCGTTGGAAGAGCTGGTCTCTGAGACCAGCCAGATCTTCGGCACCTGAAAAGAACTGTCCGCATTTCGGCACAAAATGCTAGACCATACCAAATAGGCACAGTACACTCATGTTTCCCAGAAAAGGATAGCAAGGGTAGAGGTGTGTGGTTTGGCCCTGTCAATCTCCCCGAGCTCAAACACATGTCCATTCGCACGCCACCCCCTCTTGTCACGCCTTGCCATGCTCGAAGATGGAGGACTCTTCACTTTCATCTGGGCGCAAACACGCCCAAAAGCAGCTGGGACAAGTGGACAAACTGGTCAGTAGAAACACCATTTGAATCTATGTCTTGATTTGGCCATCGGCTAAAAAAAATAGTGAGCCCTTTTCGCTTCCACGGCCCCACACTCGCTGAAAGGGTTTGGGACCGGGCCCTGAACTGGTTCAGCCCCCTGGGCCAAAGGCCATCGTCAGTCTGGAGCACCCCGTCCGCCTCTGTTAGCTCCTTCAAGGCTTTTGGGGGTCGCCGGGATTTTTTCCACTGCCTGGACTCATTCTATTCGCTGACTCCCGTCTCCGCCGCGACGCACTCTGCAGGGACGAGTCGGTTGAGGCTCGGAAGCACTCGTCCCTCGAAAGCTGAAATTCAAATCAGCGGATGTTGCTGCCGCGCAAGACCTTTTTCAAGCATGAGCCACCAACCGCATAGCCCTCCCGCGTCTCGCCCCGCAAATGCGTCCGCTGCAGCGTGGACCACGGACGCTTCCAGAACACGCACGGAACGGGCGCCTGAACGTTAACTGCGCTGCGCCAAAGGAGCCCTGCAAAGCGCAGCTCTTGGTCCACCGTGGTGCGAGCACTGTCGAAATCGTAACTCGCTCAGCTTCCCAGCTTTTAGGCCCGGGTTGCACAGCACTGCTACTGCCAATGGTCTCGCTGCCAACCGAACGTTGTTTGACACCCACGCCAGGAATGTCATAACCAGATCGTCTCCTAGTGAGCACAGCACATTGTCAAAATGCGTGCAAGACAGCAGGCGCGCAACAGCTGTTGGTTGTAGAGGGACCCGTAAAACGGCTGCAGCCAAGCCACCAAGTGCCAGATCAAAAGGCCAATGGGCTTGGACGAGGCCTGAAGCCCCACTGTTGTCGATGACCCCATCAGCGCGCGCAGCTGTCCAGCAAGCCATTTGCTTTGGCCTGCAGGGCGTCTAAATGAAGCGCCAGCCAATCCAAACCAAGGACAGCCCCCGAGCCAACTCCTCAAAGCTCAGCGGCGCGGCCATAAAAGGTGCCACAGAGGCGGGCAGCAGAAGGAGCCTGTCATCGGCATAGACAAACAGCCCGTGACCAATCCATACAAAATCGGCGCGGCTGTCGAAAGATGAAGGCGCCAACCCGGCAAAGCAAAACGGCAGCCTGCGCCAACATCCAAAAAAAGCACGTCTTGCGCAGCATCCGCAACCTTTGCGAGCTTGTGGGTGCCTCGCCGTGCGCTCATAAGTCAAGGGGCTCGCTCGCGCCTGCGTCGCCTGCCGGCTTTCGCACTCCGCTGGGCGCGATGGGTTCGCCGACGCCCGTTCTCACCGCGTCACGCAAAAGAGAAAGAAGACACTCCAGCAATCCAAAAGAAACGGCTGCCCCGACTCCACCGTTCTCAAGGGTAAGTACCCTGGAGATCAAGGGCGGGAATTCATTTTTACTGTGGTGTTTGCCGTATTTTTGCAAAATGGATACTATTTTTTCAGCCGAAACGGAGCAAAAAAAAACATTTACCTCAGCACCAGCAGAATAGATACATTGATACGTCCCTGCTTTGCAAGAATAGATACGGAAAGATGTGGATAGATACGGGCAGTTGCAAAATAGATACCAATAGATACCTTTTTAGATATTTCAAGAAAATGGATACGCCCAGCTATATTTTTAGATATTAATAGATACGGGCAATACAGGCGACAAATATTCAAAGAAAGCTCACAAACTTCCGCATGGTCGATATTGTCCAAGGACAAAGCTGGCAAAGGACTGGGAAACGCAAGCGGGAAAAACATGGCCTTGCGCGAACAGTCGGCTCCTCGGAAGACGCGCAGACCTTTGCTTGACAGAAGCGGCGACGGAGCGGTCTCAGAGCAGTTTCGGCAACGGTCCAGTGCACCCCGCACGCGTTGCTTTGCAACAATGAAAGGCTGAACCCTCTGCAAACTTCCGCAGGGCCAACCTTCAAGCATGAGCGAACTGATTGACTAGCTTGCAGATTGGCTAGATGACCAACCAAACTGGCTCATGAGCCAAGTGATAGGTAAAAGTCGACATAGCTCAGTGGCTTAACTTACGGTTTTCAATTTGGATTCACCAAGTAAGTTAGGTAGCCACCTCGCCTTGTTGCGTTGGCAATCAGCATTCAGTTGCCTTGCGTAGGAAGGCATCCAAAGTATTTGCCCGCACTTTTTAAAGTTTGCACCTATGCCAGCTTACGGGTAGGTAAGGTAGTTGTAGCAGGCGCGCCCCTCCAACCAGGTCTCCATCAAAAGTCGGTCTCGCACGAAGCTCCTGGGCGATTTTTACACGTTGCGCTCCAGCATACCTACCCAAAGAAGCCGAAGCATAACTTGCAAATGCATTGAGTGTCCTTTAGACACAACTGACCACAAGCCCTTTACTTGCTTGTTTTTGGCCTCGTCGGAGTACACCCAAAAAGTGCGAGGCGCTCCGGACACATTGAAATGCGTTTGCCAGTTATGCTTCGACTTCTTTGGCTAGGTATGCTGGAGCGCAACGTGAAAAAAATTGCCCAGGAGCTTCGTGCGAGACCGACTTTTGATGGGGGCCTGGTTGGAGGGGCGTGCCTAAAGGACACTCAATGCGTTTGCAAGTTATGCTTCGGCTTCTTTGGTTAGGTGCGCTGAAGCGCGATGCGTGATTGCCGAAACAGAAGCGCACGCTTGGGAGCTGGGGGTTCTTGTTTCTTTACAGAAATATTGACGCTGTACATACACAAATAGATGTAGTTCAAAATGAGGGCGGGGATGTTGACTTGCTAGTGTGTTCGGGTCTGTCACTGCTTCTTGGGTTGAGCCAGTTCCGGGAAGCCTTATCAGAATTTGTTGTGTCATCGCTGGCCAGACCAACTTTGTCACAGCTGCAATGGCCACAGCTTGTCAAAGCTGACGCGATATTGAATGGCGCTGACGCCGCCTGCAAATACATCCTGCCAGCAGGCGCGACTCAGTCCGAATCGCCATGGTGCAGCGATCTGGCGGCGCAAGGCTTGTGTTGCGGGCGCAGCATCAGCAACCAATTCCTGGAAGGCAAGATCACTTACATTCTGAAGCAGTTTAGATATGCGGTGCTGAAAATAGATACGGTTAGATACAAATAGAGACGCAAATAGATACGATTTTTTGAATACGAGGTGGTTTTAAAGATACGATGCCAAAATAGATACGGAATTTTGGATACGCATGCGTATATGCAGGGATTCCTGCCTGGGAATCTAAAAAATCTCTTTTCGATCTCTAGGTAGCCGCAATGCAAGCGCGAAGAAAGCTGGAAAAGCCGGCCTTAGAAAAAAGAAGTAAGTTCTCCTTGTCGCCGGCGGCCACATGTTCACGCATCCGCTCAACCAAATTCCGTCAGCGCGTCAACTCTGAATACCGGTACCGCAGGGGTCATAGCGGTCCACTGCAGCCCGGGTGGCAAGCCAGCCGGCTGAACTTGAAGCCACCGCCGTCGCGCATACGAACCCCACTCTGCAAACCGGGTCACAAGCCATGCTGTTGCAGGCCAAGCTATCCGAGCAAACGAAAACTGCTCAGAAACGGCTGCATCCCCGCCGGCGCCATTTCCACGTCAGAGCCCGAGAGTCTGTTAGACCGTCAAGTCTTAGCGCCGTGATCTGGGCCTCTGGCGCTTGCCCGCCTCCAGATTACCCCCGGCCGCAGCAGCACGTTGCTTGGCGCTGCGCGTGCCCGCGTCTTGCCTGGATTAAGCGAACCTTTGGGATTTGCGGCGCGCAAACTACAGGCCCCGCTCCTTGACGATAGCTCCCAAAGCGTCATCCATTGGCAACTGTGTGAAAGCCAAGCAAAACGCTGGCTGCAAGACTCTGTAGTCAATGTCTTCCGCTCCTTGCGCAGAACCGTCGGGCGGCGCCTGTGTACACGCGTGAAGCAAAGAATCCACACAATACATTTACACGCTCATATGTTAAGTGCAAAAGCATTTGCACGAACTTTTAAAAATTGCTGCAGTTTGAAAAGTGAAGGCCCAACCCCGTGCTCTATGGCGTCGTCCAAAGAGCCAGTCGCGTGGGCCAACAGGCAAAATAAGATTCACCTGGTGCGCAGACCTCCTGCGCTTTTTGAACTTGATTGAGACGTCTTCGATGGCAATGTTACACCAAGGCACCCGACCCTAAGCCTTACGCACGCATTGCTGCTGGACCACCAAGTGTGCTCGGCCGCCTCTCAAGACACACAGGTCACAAGCTGCCTCAGTGTTCTTGTGGCACGCACTGGCGCGCAAGCAACCCCAACCTCGTCACAAAACGGGAAAAGCTGGTGGGGGTTTTGTGCCGAAGCCGCTTTGATGCAATTTTTGCATGTTTAGCAAAAACAATCACACACACACACCACACACACACCCACACCCACACCCACACCCACACCCACACCCACACCCACACCCACACACACACCCACACCCACACGCACACGCACACGCACACGCACACGCGCACGCGCACGCGCGCACGCGCACGCGCACGCGCACACGCGCACACGCACACGCACACGCACACGCACACGCACACGCACACGCACACGCACACGCACACCACACGCACACGCACACGCACACGCACACGCACACGCACACGCACACGCACACGCACACGCACACGCACACGCACACGCACACGCACACGCGCACGCGCGCGCGCACGCACACGCACACGCACACGCACAAGCACACGCACGCACGCACGCAGACACACACACACACACCCACGCACGCACGCACGCACGCACACACACACACACAAACACACAAACACACCACACACACACAGTTCCCAACACCGAACAACGGTCAACATGCTTCCGTGAATCTTGGCCAGGCGTAGACCCCATGCAACAACTTGACTCGCGCTGCTTGAGATGGAAAACGGAAACCCCGCAGGAAGGTACAAGTGGTGGTTGTCTTGGGGGCATTTGCTGAAAATAAACCCTGCCGGCACGTGTCAACCCGGCACTGTTGAAAAAAAGCAAGGAGCAAATGGACGTCGTGTTTCTACGACTCCCAAAAAGCAGCAAGAAAGACACTTTCTTGAAGCACTACCCCCACTTTGCAAGAGGAACATTAAGCCATTAAACCTACCTGCTCCACCCCACACACTGCACCGTTCATGCCAATCAGCGCTTGGCTTTTTCTTGACCATATTGAGTCCCACCGGGGCAAGTGATCGAACCTGGGCCAATCACGATTCACGTGCCTGAACGATTAGGGTTACCCAGCTTCAAAAAGTCATGTGGGTTAGTTGTAAGAATAATAACCCGCCAGCCCAAAATGAGGTTTTCCCCCAGCAGGCGCCGGATCATTACAGACATTTAATCAAAACCCTACCCTGTGAAGCTGACGGGCTCCATACCCAACGCAAACGATTGTATTTTGTGTGTTTGCTTCTCAAGATATGGCCAGACGAGACAGGAGGGGCCTTCACAAAGAAAACCAGAAACACACAATGGACAACTCAAAGAAACAAATGAGCCTGAGACACCACTCAGAACAACTCTGCGCAGTTCGGCTGCGCACGAAGGCTGGCGGCTTTTCCGACGGCAGTGTTCTTCGCATATTGCTTTTCGAGCTGCGAATGCGGAAGTGTGACTCGCGTGCTGCTATTGCATTTTAAAGTTGCGATTTCTGTGCTGGAAATGCGACAGTGCGCTTTCCGAACATTACCTTTGCGCTTTTGCGATTTTCGAGCTCGCGTCGCGCTACTTCTGCGCATTCAAATTTGGCCTTTTTCTGCCGAAGCTGCGGGAGTGCACCTTGCGTAAAAGTGTTGTGCCTAGAAGTTGCGAAGTTCGAGCTGGAGTACTCCAAAGTTGTGACTTTCGAGCCAAAGCAGCGCGACTGCTCTTCGCGTACGCTTGAAACTTACGAATTTGCAGCCGGAGCTGCGGCAATGCTCGTCTCGTACTGCTTTCGCGCTTCGAACCAACAATTCGCAGCCGGAGCTGCGAGAGCGCGAAGAGTTGCGATTTTCGAGCCAGGCAGGTTGAACCTGCGACCGTGCCATTGCAAAAGCAGGCGCATAAACAACGAGACAACCTCCAAAGACCGTTTCGCAAGCAAGGGAAGCAGCCGAACTCGCACGGCGTGAGAGCGCTTCGGCACGCACGAGGGTTCGCCGAGATCAGGATGCCAGTCTCGCAGAATGATGCGCCGGCCATGGATTTCAGCGTCAACACGCAAATCCGAAGATCGGCGCAGCACCACAGCGAGACCCTAGTTTTGAAGAAAGGCCTGTTCCATGAAGGACCACTTTTTGCGACAACTGCCATCGTTTTAGAGCTCATATCGACAATGAGACATCCACCACGCAGCGCCCCTGCCATCAAGAGCACACTTTGCTCTCGAAAAAAGTACGTTTGGCAGAAAAAACCGATTGGATCGTAGTGCGAACCTCAGAGAACCAGCCTTGTTCTTGCCTTTCCCCTTGTGCGTCGCCAGATCCCACTGCCAGCCCGGAGCAGAAAAAATGATCTGCCTGCCAACACCTTTTGATCGACGATCGGGGCACTCACACGCCCTCCGCCCTCCGCCACATTTGAAGCATTCCAGGCGCTCCTCCTGCTGGCATGAAGCCGCGTTCTCTCTTCATGCCTGTTGAGCTTGAGGCCACGACCGCTTTGCCTTCCTCGATTCGGATCATCTCCTGCATCTTTCTCCGTCTTGCGCAGCTTCTGTAGTTGGGGATCTTGCTCGTCAGCTTCTCCGAGATCACCTCCAACCGGCCAAGCATCCCACTCATCTTGAAACGGGATTGCCATCTTCCGTTCCATCCGCGACGCTCCTGCTTCAGCCTTATGAGGGCCTGCGACTCTTGAAACCCCAGCTTTGCGCCGGCTTTCTCACAAGACCTCGACGATGCTACTACACCTGACGTATCTGGTTGCCTTACAGGGGGAGTTACGGTGGAAGCAGGGCCCGTGGTTACACAAAACCCCAAAGTGATGGGTGCTCATGAGATTGAGGTGATGGAGCTGCATGGTTTGGAGGCAGAGACAAGCAACCGTACGTCGTTTGAACAACGACTGCAAATCGTTCGTTCCATCCCGCATGGGCTCAGTGCAGCGCAGCTCGCCCCCGGTCACTCGAACCGTCCGCAGCCAGACTCATGGATTGCCTGGAGGCTGGTGAAGCAGCTGGAGAACCACAAGAGTGCCAAGCTGACTGCCTCCATAAAAGAAGGACAGAGCAATAGACCTTGGGCATCCGGCCAGCCATAGCCATGTTGCGGTGAAGGATCTGGAGGATCAAATGACCCCGGAGATGTGTCTATGCCGTGTGATGAAACTACCACGACCGGCTTGAGCTTCTACCAAAACTCCGTCGCGGGAAAGCGCCAGCGATGCGACTGCTGGCCAAGTGACGGCTGGCAGGCTCAAGAGAGTGCACATATCAGCGGATTCTGGCGCGCTTTGCAGGATCTTCTGGAGAGGGCGTGAACACAATCCGGTGGCTGGACAGGAGACATCAGCCACATCATACTACCCACGGGATCTGTGCAGGAGCAATGCAACATTGCGGCGTCAGCAAGAAGTGCCAGATCGTGGATCAAGGCGGAGCTCTTCATCACGGATTGAAAAGGCGTTCTTTGCGAATGAGGATCGATGGGGAAAACGCTGGCGGTGATCAACCGGATGAGAGCGGGAGAGAACACAGACCAGCCGAAACTGGCGCAGCAGGACATCCTCGCCATCGGAATTTGGCGAGGTGGTTTGGTCGACCATTGTGGCAATTACGGATGGTAGTGGACTTCAAGTGCCCCAGACTCGTCCTGGCGGCAGCAGGTTCTCCAGGCACCCGCCGCGCCCAGTCAAAAGCATGCCTGTAAGTGGGCAGCGATTTGGAAGAATGGCTAGAGGCGAGGCCAGCCACAAAGTTCAAGGTGGTGGACGTCCTGAAACTACATGAATCAGCGACAAGCAGAGTCAGCGGATGATCAAAAACCCTTTGACCTCAAAGATGTGAAGACGTTGGCGCAGATGTCCCATGCCAATATGGACCCAAGCGTCTGCCTGGCAATGGCGGCAGCCGGGGCTCAACGCTGTTGAGGTGCGGTGGAGGCTACAGCCCGTTGATGGGCGTGTGGGAAGCTCTTCGATGGTTCAAGAAGATCTGCGGACCTATGCCGGTCTGCCCCTCTCTGCAGAAGGACATTGTGAGGCCGGTGGCTCAAAGAGGAGCTGTGGGAGTTGGGATCTCTACGGGTGGCCACGTGGATGATTTCAATCGGGGTGGCAACATGAAGAACCAGAAATGGACTACGGGGCTGAACTCCTACCGGCGCATTGGCATCTCAATGCGGTGGGCAATGGCAACGAGTTCTATGTGCGAAGTGCAACCTTCTGCTGACAGGTCTGGGCAGAGCTGAAGGACGACCGGGCCCAGGTGCTCACGGGCGGCAAGAACATCCGCGCAGGCAGAGCATCAACAGTGGCGTGCCTGGGAGTTGAGACGACTTGTCCAATGACAGCAAGATTCAGTCCATCCTGGAAGCGGAGAACTCTACGTGACGGGTGCGGATGGTGCGGGCGCAGACCCATGCATGCTGCGGCTTCAACGCGAACAAGTCGACCCTTACCGTTTCACCTGGCCCTGCTGGTGCCGGACAGCAAGGGCGACTATGACGCGGCGGAAAAGAATGAATTGCATCTTCCGGGGCTGACAAACATCAGGCGGCCTTGCAGGCCCACCATTTGAGGCAGCAGTTGCAGAACTCTGGAACAAAGCCGTTGCGGCGTCGGACTGCATGATGAAGAAGGGCACGAACGCCAGACAGTCGATGGTGCAGTACCTGAACACCTGGGTCTGGCAGCTAAATTTCGACCCGCGCTTCATCCAAACGCCAAGAAGATCGCGAGATGGGCTGGAGCGCGCTCGAAACCATTCGGATGGGCTCATCTGAGGCATACACAAAATCCTTTTTGGGGGCTCATGCGATTGACACATTTCGCTTGCCCAGGCCATCTGCCTCAAGGAAAGGTCCCCTCCAAATGGAAAACGTCGTCGAGCTCTTAAGGAGGGCTGTATGCATTTATCACACGCCTTTTGCGCGCAAACGCAAGACCAGGATCAGGGATGGCTTTGCTACACATCCTGCCGTTCTTATCCGGTGGCTCAGCACCTCGCGCGTGCGACCTTTGTCAATATGATCGGGGTCGACCACCTGTTTCTTCTTGTCTCATCTCTGGGACAGGTCATCAGGTCACCCTTCCCCGCGGCGGAGTGTTGGGTGCAAAAGAATGTTTTGCTGAGCCGACAAGTGGTCCCCTAGTCAGCAAGCTTTCCCTGCAGACACCGCATCGGGGTCCATCGCATCGTCATACATGAGTAAAGCAGATCCTTGTCTTTGGGACTACTTCTTCACCCACCCCCTTATCCTGCGAAGGCCTTCACCCACGCGGAGGTTGTGGAGGTCGAGGAGACCCGCCCTGTTGCCCCTGCCACCAAAGCCCCGAAACTTTGCACGGTGTCACAGCGAGAGCGCCACCCCAGCGCGTGCCCCAATTTCGCACGAGTCTGTCGCATCAGAGACAACTTTTCGACGCGCAGGGCCAACACTTGGAGTTCGAACCCCCTTCTTGACCCAGCGTAACATCTCTACCCAGAAAAAACTTCAGCTCCAGCCTCAGCCTCAAACTCAGGCTGATTTTGCTGAGTGTGTTCTGAGTTTTGCATGGGTCTTCCCAGATTCTGAGTTTTCCAGATTAAGTTGTTGCGGGTTGATTTTCGAGTTTTTGGAGTTTTTCAAACTCCTGGATTTGCGGCCTCTATTGGCGGGATCAGGGCTTATTTTCACAGACTGGTTGAAAACGAGAATGAACCCACACGCTTTGGGGCCTGAGCCCTGCGCCATACCCAGATGGGCTCGTTTGCTGGGCTGGCCAATGTTGTTGTGTGTGGGCTGTGCCCCTTTGGTTTTACTTTGTTTGTTTTTTCTAACTCCTAAAAGGGTACCCTCAACAAAGACAACCCCGCATGAAACAGGCAGGATCGGGCATCGGCCTGGCCTGCCGCTGCTGGAGGGCGGAGCGGAACGCACCATAGCCTCCGCTGCCTCGCGGAAGAAGAAGCCACGGCCAATCAGCTTTCTGCAAGTTCAGTTTGCAAACCCAGGTTGAAAGTTCAAAAAGCGCAGCAGCAATGAAATCCAGCAGGAAAACAAAGCGATCTCCACGCTGGGCGTCAAGGCTCCAAGTGCCAACCGCGGGCCCCCCGCTAGCAAACAAAATTAGAAGTACACATGTTCATTTTCAAAGCGATCAGGGGATCTGCGCCTGTACCGTTGTGGCTTCCAAACTCATAATCGCGGAATCGCTCAGGCCCTTTTTTGAAGCCAACATGGAAGCGCCCAAACAACTTTGGCCCTCTTTTCGAAGATGCGAATCATGCGCTTATGCAGTTTTGGAGCACCTGGCCCGCACCTCAAACGCAAACATGGAAGTGCACGGACCCTCCGTTTAGAAGACGCAGCCTGAAGGCCGTTTTGGGGCGCCCGGTTTTTTAGAAGAAACGTGCAGCTTTGCGGTTTTGGATGAACCACGCAGTTTTGCAGTTTGTTGGAGCACCGCACCTGCCCCTCAAACACGAGCATGGAGCTGCGCGGGCCGCCTTTCCCAGACGTGCCAGCGAGGCACACTGTCTTCAAACAATCCGAATCAAACGTCGCTGTTGGCAACGGGCGCTGGCAAAACGCACCATTTCGGCTTTTGGTTGCGGGGCGCCGGATCTTTGAGAAGACGCGGCCTGATCATGGATCTTGGCTGTTTCGGAGCGCCTCACCTGCCCCTCAAATACAAACGCGGACGCGCACGCGCCCTCCTTTCGGAGACGAAGCCTGGCTAAACGCAGTTCCAAGAGAGGCTAAAAGACACTAAACTACATAGTTTAGAGCCCGAGGCGCTAATGTATCGCTTCTGCGTTTGAGCCGGTCGAGTAGCAAACTCTTAGGGATCCTGCAGATTGCGCCAAACGGCCGTTCTTCGGCGGCGGGGCGTAGGATGGGCTCCAAAAAATAGCAGCCGAGGCACGGCGCAATGACAGTTTAAGCCACTATCGGCTGCGCCGACGCAAGATGATGTCATGCAATTTCCAAGGCCAAACACTTGTCAAGCTGGATCTAACCTTGTAGAGAACCCAGTGTCGTATAGGGCGCGCCGAGTTCAGTTGCATGAGTGGAAAGCTGTGAGCGCAAGTGAGCAACGCAAGTATACCTTTAAACTGCAACCTTGGCAAAAATAAGGAGGATCGCCACTATCGCTACTTGCTGCCGCTTTCGAGAATCGCACATGTCATCGCGAGAAAGGTCACCATGCCGCGTGGACCTGAGAGATCCGGACACAATCCTCTCCTCAGTCTTCCGCCTTGCAGCGCCTGCGTTGCTTGCCCTGCGCCTCGCAAGGCGTTTGCCACCCTAGAGAAGGAGTGGAAGAAGCTTCGAGACATGGGCTGTTGGGGCCAGTCGAAGGTGCGCGAGTGGCGGGAGTTGCCGCTGAGGCAATGCGTGACGGAGTGAAAGAAAGTGCGCGTTGGTCGAATCTTTGACATCTGTGGCGAGAAGAATCACGAGCTAAACGAAAATGACCCGAACAGAAAGTTCAAGGGCCGAGGTGTACTCGAGGGATGTCACGTTAGAGACGAATCCAACGCACGGGCTCTTTCTTGGAAATCAAATCGCGCCCTGCCACCATGGCGGCGGGCGACGGAGAGTCTGCTTGTACTCAAGCCTTGCTCGGCGGAACAAAA